CACTTTAGTATAAATTTAAAAAAAAAATCTAATGGAAAATGTGCTGAGTCTCAAACATGGGAGCATGACCACATTGTGGTCCCGCCACAAGGAAGGTGTTGATCAAGCTGCTCAGGGTGTATCTGGTGGCGTGGGGTACTGCCAGTCCATGAGTGTCGTCTCCTAGACGCTCATTCATCGCCGAAGGTTCCCTAGGGAGCAGCGCCTTTTAAAGCAAGGCACAAGAAGGTAACAGTACCAGGCGTTCCCTTTTCGAACTCGAAAACTCCACGTGAGCCGGTGGAAAAAGGTGGGGGGGGGGGGGGCTGTTTGCAGGTGTGATTGAGTGATAGTCGCGTAGCCCGGCCAGGCGATAGCCGGTGATAAGGATTGATTGAGAAGGGAATGCAGGCGCCGACGCGACGCCGGGCGGGGCAGGGGCCGTACTGGACGGGACGGACTCGGAGAGGGACTCGCCACGCACAAGGCCCCAAAGCGCCACACCGGCTGCCAGCGGCCACGCCACTGAGGCTCTTTAGAAGCGCCGAGCCGACCGGAGCCAGGGTATCGACAGCGTGGACACCCTCGAGCGAGAGCCGTGTACACACAGGTGAGGCCAAGTCCCACGGGGGGTAGTGAGAGAGAGGGAGAGGGAGAGTCGATAACTTCCTTACTTTGACTCTAATATGATTACATACGTTCTGTTCGTACCGAGTTATGGCCAGGAGGTGATACTCGCCAGCTAGATTGATCCGATTGTGTCTCTAAAATGTTTTGGGACTAAAATCATAATGACCACCCATCATTCAGGTGGGGGTTTGGCGGGAAGCTCCCGTTTCTCGATTGTGTGGATTTGTATTTCGAGTGCGAATGCACCCGCGTTGCGAACTGGGCATGGGCACACTTGTGTTTGATGATCATGGGATTAGAGTGCAGGTGGTACTCGTGCGGTGCTCATTATGGCCCTCAGGGAAGTCCTCCACTTTGAGCGCCCATTACAGCTACCGTCATGTTGATCAGTGATATGGACTTTCGCTGCCTTCTTCAGTGGTTTCTACTATTTCCTTCGATGGCAGTTAACGCATTACTATTACGTGTCGTAAATTTAATGCCATAACATCATGTACACAGTTATACGAGAATTTGAATTTCCCCGCCGTCGATGTCGATGCTTCCTATTGGTAACAATCGCTTCCGATATTGCAACACGTAATTTGGCAATATGCTTGCGGAATAGAAATTCAAAATCTGACCCTACTTGTTAAATTGCTAGGCATCGAAACATTAGGAATCGCGCGCTTCCCTCTGGATTGCGGGGAACGAGCATTGGCAAAGCAACAGAAACATTTGCGTTTTCAAACGCTTCCACCCGTTGTCTCGGGAACCAATCACAGCCTGCGCTGACTTCGAAGAAAAAAGGAAAAAAACGAGAGCGCGAGGGAGAAGTCTGTCTCCTCGGTCTCTTTTCACCTGCGTCAGAAGTCTGTCCGAGCGCCTATCTCTATCTCTACCTCGGCCTGATGAAGAACTGATAATGATTTTAATTAATTGCTGGTGTCTTACAGAGGTCATGCGCTCCTCCGCGATAGAGACTCTCTGTCTCAAAAAAGTTGAATCCCTCGTGGATCGTATTTCTTGCCTCCAAAAAAGTGGGTGCTTGGTATTCAAGTTATTATTTCACGCTCTACACCCAGAAAAGTGTCTCCTTGAAGCATAAGGGAACTTTTTCCTTCTGTCAAATAAATTTAATTATTTTTAAGTAAAAATGTCCTGGAGTTTAGCCAACTTTTTCCATGAGCTAATGAAAAACTTTATTCTAGGTAAATTATGTTAATTTAATATCAATTTATGTAACGTAAGGTAATTTACCCGTGTTTCAAGGTAACAATTTTCTGGCTGCAAGGGCTATGCTTGCAGATTGTAACTGCTTAAAACCTTACACCTTCTCTATTGTAGAGCCAAAGACATTAAATGCGCAACCAATGTTTAACCTTATAAGGGTATCTGTACGCGTAGAACGGAAGGGAGGGGGTGACAAAAACTGAGAAATGCTAGTGAGGTATTATTCCCACACTATCGATGTCTCTTTCACATCGAGAGTGTATAGGATTCGTCCTGTTTAACACTGATAAGAAATCAGCCTTGATTTCGCTACGCAATGATAGAGGGGTGATAGAGTGATGCAACTGTATATATCCAGGGCGGTGTAGATAGATAATAAGTCCAACTCCGCGACTCGTGAGACTCGTCGATAGAGTACATGCAAGTTTGCAGTAGAAACCCTCATCACGCAGAGTGTCTGAAAATGCGATAGGAAGAGAAAACATTGAGCGGCTCGTTATTTCTGTCGCTGGTCTAATCCATCGACGGGTAAATAATGGGTTCGAGATTGCAGCCCCTTCCAAAAGGGCCACTTGTGCCCCTGAGAGAGGCTAAACGGGCCCTCGACGGGGCGCGGGGGCGATACGAGAGGCCCTCCACCGCGGGGATTAGTTGGAGAGCGCGCCTCTCAGCGCCTGCCCAGCCCCCGATAGGCAACCCAACGCGCGGCGCGCGCGTGCGGCCCGGGGGCGGTATCTCTGCGCCCGCCTGCAGGCCCGTCCGCCCGATAGCGACTGGGAGCGGCGCGGGCTATGACCCGACACCGCCAAACAGGACACCCCCACACCGAAACTTTCTCCTCTCTCACTGATGCAATGGCGGGCACAATCTCGGCCTCCTCGGAGAAGGAGATCGCATCATCGAGTGCGGGCGGGCAAGTGCGTCCTAAGCTAACGCCCAAGTGGGTGGGATTAGGCGGAGCCGTGCCGGGGCGGGGGGCGTGGCGCGGCGGCCATGGAGAGGGCCCTCAAGTCGAGAGTCTGGCGCGGCGGGGCGGGGCGCGCGAGGCAGCTCCATGACACTCCACTCCAACACTCGAGACTCTTTATGGTCGGCTTTCGTGATGGCGCCCTCCGCACTCGACTCGACTCGGCACGGGGAGGGTTTCACGCGCTGCGGTGTGATTTCACGAGCTCCTCTTGTTATCCGCAGGATGGAGGGCCAGCAGGACGACGGCCAGCAGAGCTCGGCGTTGGAGCTGGCGATGTACCCCAGGGCCGCCGAGCCTCACGAGGGCGCCCAGCAGCCACACGAAGTCGCCCAGCAGCCACACGAGGTGGCCCAGCAGCCGCACGAGGTGGCCCAGCAAGCACTGGATGGACAGCCGCAAGCGATGGATGTGCCGCAGCAGCCCTTGGAGGTGCCCCAGCAACAGCACGACGTGCCCCAGCAACAGCATGAGCAGCAGGCGTCTCACGTCCAGCAGCAGGACGTCCAGGCACAGGGTCACCACCACCACACCGTGCATCACCATCACCACCAGCTGCAGCACTACCACCCGCACCCCCACCACCCGCACTACCTGCACCACGGACACCACGAGCCGCTGGGACACGCCATCGCGCACCCGGTGGCCCACCCGGTGGCGCTGCCCGCCGCCATGCACGCCCCTACCCACGGCACGCCCGGCGAGGCCAACGTGCACCTGGTGATCCCGCCGCAGCCGGCCCACCAGGGCGGCCACCCGGGCGGCCACCACCAGCCCGTCGAGGCCAGCGTGGCGCTGCTCATGCACCCGCCGCAGCCGGCGCACCAGGGCGGGCTGGGCGGCCACCTCACCGTGCACCACACGCACACGACCACCGTGTACAGCACGGCGGGCGGCACGACGGGCGCCGCGGCCGCCACCACCGCGTTGTACGACAACTACGAGCAGACGCCCTGGACCTTCTTCCCGCCCGACTACCCCGTCCCCGAGGACGAGTACCGGTGAGTAAGTCTGACCTCCAGCGCTTTAGGCCCGGCGCCGAGGGGTGGCGCTGCGGGCAGGACTCGGCGTGCGGGGTATCCACAGAGGCATCCGCTGGCGCTCTGGGCGCGGCTCTGGGCCCGGGGGACTCGCGGCCGCACATTACATATGCGGACTTTGCCCGGCAACGCCGGCGACCCTTGCTAATAAAACTCAAGTCCACCAGAAAAAGCAAAAAGAGCGCCGCAGCACCCATGACCGTCTCTCTCGCTCTCGCGGGCGGGGCGGGTGCCCGCGCGAGTGCGACAGAGACAGAGAGTGCGGCTCCCTCTCCTTCGCGAGCAGGGGGAGGCCGCCGACGCGCGGCCGGGAAGGACAATCCGGGGACCGGATCCGTCCGGCCTCCTTCCGGTCAGCCGAGCCGCGCCCGGAGCCCTCCTCCTATCCGGGGGCAGTGGGAGGGGGAGGTGTGGGAGACGGCGGCACGAGTCGAAAAGGCAAGGTAGCCCCGCATCTCGGCGCGCTCGGGGGCCGAGTTACGGGGGTGCGGCCCTGGCGGCGGCGGCGCGGCGGCCGCCAAGGCACCGCGTATGATGCGTCACTATCGTGCGTTAACTCCGAACCATCGCCTTTGAATGGGCGCGGGGGCCGCCCCGGCCCTGCCCGGTCCTGCCGCCGCCACGCCCCGCCACACTCCGCTACCCCTGGCCGCCGGCCGCCTGGCCAGGCCGTAGGGAAGTACCCTCTCTCCGCCCCCCGCCCGCCTCGCCCTGCCCCGCGTGTGCAGGAGTCTTTCATCCGTTTTCCGTCAAAGCGCCCCGCGAGTCGCCGACTGGC